GAGAGAGAGAGAAAGAGAGAGAGAGAGAGAAAATATTACTCAGCCATAAAAAAGAATATCTTACCATTTGGGACAACATGGATGATCTAGAGGGTACTATGCTAGGTGAAATAAGTCAAACAGAGAAAGGCAAATACTATATGATTTCACTTACATATAGAATCTAAAAAGCAAAACAAGTGAACAAACAAACAACAGACTCAAATACAGAGATCAAACCGGTGGTTGCCAGAGGGGAAGTGGGGGAGGGGGTGATGGGCAAAATAGATAAAGGGGATTAAGAGGTACAAACTTCCAGTTATAAAGTAAGTCATGGAGATGAAAAGTACAGTATAGGGAATATAGTCAATAATACCATAATAACATTGTATGGTGATAGATGGTGATTACACTTATTGTGAAAATAAAAGTCACCCATAATCTTACCACACAGGGTCTGTCTGTGCTGATATCTTCTCTATGAACAAATATACTCTTTTTAAAAAGGGATTATATTGAATGTTTGGGTACTTTTTTCATTAAATGATATGTGTGAGCACCTGGGGGGCTCAGACGGTTAAGCAACTGCCTTCAGCTCAGGGGTCATGATCCCAGCATCCTAGGATCGAGCCCCACATCAATTTCCATGTTTTTGTTTGTTTCTTCTTTTGAACATTTTTATTTTGGAATAAGTATAGATTCACAGGAAGTTGCAAATATAGTACATAGAGGTTCCATGGAGCCTCTTCATCCAGTGTTCCTTATGGTATATCTTACATGATGATAGCACATTACCAAAACCAGGTATTTGACACTGGTATAAAGTTGTACATAGTTCTATGTCATCTTAATGCATGTAGGTTCATGTAACCACCACCACAGAGAAGATACAGAACTATTGCATCCCCTCAAAGGTCTTCAGCTTGTACTCCTGCACAGTCACATGCCTCTGTCCCCTGTGCCCCACCCTGAACTCCTGACAATCACTAATCTATTCTCCATCTCCACAGTTTTGTCATTTCAAGAATGTTATGTAAATGGAATTATAGCCGTAACCTTTTGTGGACTAACTTTTTTTCACTTCTCATAATGCCTTTGATACCCATCCAAGTTGTTGAATGTATCATTCCTTTTCATTGCTGAATAGTATTCTATGGTATGAATACACTATGAATCCATTCATCTTGTTTAACCATTTATCCAGTGAAGGACTTTTTTTTTCTTTCAAGTTTTGGGGTATTACAAATAAAACATCTATGAACAATGGATACAAGTTTTTGTGTGGACATGAGTTTTCATTTCTCTGGGATAAATGCCCAGGAGTGCAATCGTTGAGTCACATGGCAAGTGCATGTTTAGTTTTTAAGAAACTATCAAACTATTTCCACCAGCAATGTATGAGATCCAGTTCTTTGTATGCTAACTATGGCATTGCCATTATTTTTTAATTTAGCTATTCTCATAGGGGTGTAGTGATATCTCATTTAATTTGCATTTCCCTAATGGCTAAGCGATGTCGAACATCTTTTCATGTGTTTGTTATATGTATATGCCTTTCAGTAAAATATCTGTTCATGTCTTTTGCCAATTTTGAAATTTATGGCCCAGGATACAGTTTATTTTAATGCATATACTGTGGGTGCTTTAAAAGAATGTGTGTTCTGTTGTTGTTTAATGGAGTGTTATGTAAATGTTGATTAGTTCCAGTTGGTTTTGGTGTTATTGAGCTTTTTTTTTTTTTAAGATTTATTTATTTATTTGTTTTGGGGGGATGGGGCAGAGGGAGAGGGAGAAAGAAACTTTAGCAGACTCCTCACTGAGCATGAAGCCTGATGCAGGGCTTGATTTCATGACCCTGAGATCAGGACCTGAGCTGAAACCAAGAGTCAGTCATTTAACCAACTGTGCCACCCAGGCACCCCTTGTTGAGATTTTCTATATCTTTGCTGCTTTCTGTCTAGTTTTTCTGTCAATTGTTGAGAGAGGGATGTTGAAATCTCCACCTATCATTGCAGATTTGTCTATTTCTACTTTTAGTTCTATCAGTATTTGATTCATTTACTTAAAGGCTCTGTTATTAGGTACATTCACATTTAGAATTATTGTGTCTTGTTGGCGAATTGATCCTTTTGTCATTACATAATATCCCTTTTTTATCCTTAGTAATTTCCCTTGTTTTTGATTCTACTTTATCTGAAATTAATATAGCCACTCCAGCCTTTTATTATTATCACAAACAACACTGCTTAGTCTTTGCACTCATCCACAATTATGAGGATTTCTTGGTTAAAAGTCTGCTTGTTTTTAAAAAAGACTTTATTTATCTTTTTATTTTAGAGAGAGAGAGAGTGTGAGAGAGCAAGTGGTGGGGGAGAGAGGGTGTGGGGGGGGGGGGGACCAGAGGGAGAGGTAGAGGGAGGGGGAAAGGACCTTAAGCTGAGTGTGGAGCCTCACACAGTGTTTGATCTTAAGACCCTGAGATCATGACCTGAGCCAAAACCAAGAGTCATACACTTAACTGAGCCACCCAGGCACCCCAAAAGTCTGCATGTTTTTAAAGGCTTTTGACTGTATTGTCAGATTGTCCTGCATAAACTTACTAAGTTTTACTGCCTCAACACTGGGCATTATCATTTTAAATAATTACAAATGAAAGGCAAGTTTTGACCAGTTTGATAGAAATGTTTCATAAACTATAAAACACTGATGAAAGAAATTGAAGATGACATAAAGAAATGGAAAAACATTCCATGTTCATGGATTAGAAGAAAAAATGTTGTTAAAATGTCTATGCTATCCAAAGCAGTCTACACATTTAATGCAATCCCTATCAAAATACCACCAGCATTTTTCACAGAGCTGGAACAAACAACCCTAAAATTTATACGGAACCAGGAAAGACCCCGAATAGCCAAAGAAATATTGAAAAAGAAAACCAAAGCTGGAGGCATCACAATTCCAGACTTCAAGCTGTATTACAAAGCTGTCATCATTGAGACAGTGTGGTACTAGCACAAAAACAGACACATAGATCAATGGAGCAAAATAGAAAACCCAGAAACAAACCCTCAACTATATGGCTAACTAATCTTCAACAAAGCAGGAAAGACTATCCAATGGAAAAAAGACAGTCTTTTCAACAAATGGTGTTGGGAAAACTGAACAGCAACATGCAAAAGAATGAAACTGGACCACTTTCTTACACCATGCACAAAAATAAATTAAAAATGGATGAAAGACCTAAATGTGAGACAGGAAGCCATCAAAATCCTAGAGGAGAACACAAGCAGTGACCTCTTTGACATCAGCCATAGCAATTTCTTTCTAGATATGTCTCCCGAGGCAAGGGAAACAAAGGCAAAAATAAACTATTGGGATTTCATAAAAATAAAAAGCTTCTGCACAGCAAAAGAAACAAGAAAACTAAAAGGCAACCTATAGAATGGGAGAAGTTATTTGTAAATGACATATCTGATAAAGGGTTAGTATCCAAAATATGTAAAGAAGTTATAAAACTCAACACCCACAAAACAAATAATCCAGTTAAGAAAATGGACAGAAGACATGAATAGACATTTTTCCTAAGAAGACATACAGATGGCTAAAAGGCACATGAAAAGATGCTCAACATCACTCATCATCAGGGAAATACAAATCAAAACTATGATGAGATATCACCTAACACCAGTCAGAATGGCTAAAATTAACAACACAGAAAACAACAGGTGTTGGCAAGGATGAGGAGAAGGGGGAGCCCTCTTACACTGTTGGTGGGAATGCAAACTGGTGCAGCCACTCTGGAAAGCAGTGTGGAGTTTCCTCAAAAAGTTAAAAATAGAATTACCCTAGGATCCAGCAACTGCACTACTAGGTATTTACCCAAAGGATAAAAAAAATACTGATTCGAAGGGATACATACACTCTGATGTTTATTTATAGCAACATTATCAACAATAGCCAAATTATGGAAAGAGCCCAAATGTCCATCAACAGATGAATGGATAAAAAAGATGTGATATATATATATATAGATATATATATTATATATGTGTGTGTGTGTATACACACACACACACACTCTGAAATGTTTCTCAGCCATAACAAAGAATGAAATCTTGCCATCTGCAATGATGTGGATGGAACTAGAAAGTATTACGCTAAGCAAAATAAGTCAGTCAAAGAAACACAAATACCAAATTATTTCACTCATATGCGGAATTTAAGGAAAAAAACAGATGAACATGGAGGGAAAAAAGAGAGGCAAACCAAGAAACAGACTCTTAACTATAAAGAATAAACTGAGGGGTACTAGAGGAGTGTGGGTGCGGAGCTGGGTTAAATAGGTGATGGGTATCAAGGAGGACATTTGTGATGAGCACTGGGTGTTGTATGTAAGTGATGAATCACTAAATTCTACACCTGAAACTAATATTACACTGTATGTTAATTAACTGGAATTTAAATAAAAATTTGGAGAAAGAAAAAAAGAAATGTCTCATAACTCAATGAGGGTGCAGGTAGTCATGGTTGGTGCATATATTTAAATGAGTTAAATTCTCAACTATCCTAGTAAAAAGCCAAGAGGTCTAAAATTCATAAATCAAGAAATAGGGGCATATGTATATTTTGAGACTGGGCAGTAAATTCCAGATGTAGCAGCCGTAAGAGTTGGGAATGTTTGCCCTTTTAAGAGGGTCTGAATGGGATGGGATGGGATGGGGAACTAGATAGGGCTTCTGTATTTATTTGTATTTGTAGTAATAGATATTTTTAAAAACATGTGATGTATGAATTACTTTGATTTTATAAATGACATCTGATTGTTGGTTTAACTTGAATTTATATTTATTATCAGGACTCCCATAATTGTAAAAATCTAACACCAAGTAAAACTGTGCCTCTCTCGGGAAGAAACTACAACTTCCAGGATTCCGCGGGTTGAAGGGGGGGGGGCTGTTCTCGGAGGCAAACTACAATTCCCAGAATCCCGCTAACCAAGGGGGTGGTTCTGGCCTAGGGTTGGGGCAGCTGAGTCCGCGAGCGTGCGCTCGTGCAAAGGCTGCCGCGCCGGGCTCGCCAGCCAGGCAGGCGCGCGGCGGGCACCCGCGAACCCGGCGGCGGCGGACGGGACGGCGCCGCGGGATCTGCCCTCCATGCCTGGGCCTCCCGGTCTTGTAGCGGGCGCAGGAGGCGGCAGCGGCGGTTGTTTTGGCCAAAGCCGGCTCCGCGGAGGGCCCACCTGGACGCTCCAGCCCCGCGGAGCCCGGCCTGCGGGCTGCAGGTGAGACGCGCGCATTCGGGGCTGGCGAGGGCTCCGCGACGCCGCTGGGCTTGGAGTTGAGGGATCGGCCCGGACCTCCCCCAGGAGGGAGCAACGGCAGCGCCGGGCCCTGGGGTGAAGAGGAGCCCAGGGAAGTTTGCAGAACCAAGAAGCGACCGGTGATGCGGACTGACGGAGGCGCGGGATGGGGGCGGCGGTGAGGAGAGGTGGGCCCTCGGGGTTCCGGTGCCGCGGGGCCCGGGCGGCGCCCCCAGGCGCGCCCGTTGAATCCCTTAGCTCTTGGCTGGCACTGACAGCGGGTCCTCACGCCCTTTTGCTTGGGAGACGATTAGCACGTTTGGCGGGGAGCCAGCGAGGTGCGCGGAGGGGCCTGGGCCTCCCGAGCTCCTTTGGAAGGCAGTACCTGGGCAGCCCTGCAGCTGATCCCCTGGGCTCTTTGGGGCTCGATAGGATATCTGCTGTGTGCCCCGTGATAAGAGCCTGCCACGACGTGCTTGATAGTGCCAGGGTAGCCTCTGCAGGGACCCACTGGACTCCTGACCCCTTCCATGTGTGTAGACCCCGTCTCCTGGTCACTGATGAGAATCCTCTGCGAAGATCTAGGGTCCTCAGGCCAGAGCCCTGCACCTGGTGGCGGGCGGCTAGGGTCTTCTTCCTTTATACCGAAACAACTCTCAGAGCCTATTCTTGGGAGAAGCAAGGCCCAGCACAGGGAGGGTTATGGGGTGAGCTTTGACAGGACTTAGTGGCCAGGAGCACAGACAGAAGAGTTCATTCACCAAATGTTATTGTTACATGTGCTGGGCATTCAAATCCTGGCTCTCATTTACTAGCTGTGTGCCCTTGAGCTAGTCACTTAGCCTCTCTGAGCCTCTGTTTCTTCCTCTGCCAAATGGGGATAAAAGTACCTTCATGACAGGCTTGCTGTGAAAGTTACATGAGATAATGCTGTGCAAGTCCTCAGTCCGTTGTTGGTACACAGTGGACGTGCAGCAGATGCTAGGACTTGGGGTTGCTAAGATAGAAAATGTTAGAGGTGAGACTGGAACCCAGGCCCATCTCTGTACTGGAACTAGCTGCTCTCTCTGGCTGTCACGGATCTTGGAGATCTTCCAGTTCATCCTTTCACATCACAGATGAGGAATCCGAGTCCCAGTTAGTGACAGAGCCAGAAAAGAACACAGGTCCCGTTTTCCCCAGGGATGGCCAGCACGTCTGTTCCTGAGCCTTGAGCCCCAGGAAGGGGAGGAGAAGTAGAAAGTGGAGATCCTCAGCAAAGAGGAGGATGGGGGTGCTGGTGACTGAGTTCCCCCAGACAGCACTGTGGCCACGTGAGCATCCTAGTGGCCTTGATGTGTCTGTCAGTGACAGAGCAGCTCCAACAGTTCTCCAGCTCTCCTTCTGCTTGGCAAGTTCTTGTTCTGAGCCAGGCTTTAGAGAATATTGAGCAATAAACAAAGGCTTCCAGTGAATACGGAACTAACTGGAAAATTAAATTACCAAATGTTCCATTCCCCAAGGGTCTGCGGCACTCTCAGTTTGGTTGTCAGTGGATACACTCCCCCAGGACCTGCCTAACTCCTGATAGGTTTTTTTAAATTGGATAAAATAATGAACATGAAAGGCGTAGCCCACAGATGTCAGCATAGGCTTTGAAGTTGGACTTGGGTTTGAATCCCAGCCGCACCACTTCATAGCTGGGTGACATTGGGCAATTCACTTAACAACTCTGAGCATACTTCCTCAAATGTGGGATGAAATTGATAGCACCTATTTTAGATTTGTAGGAGGGAATGAATGAGGTTGTTCATCTAAAGCATTTAGCACTGTTTCTGGTATAGAGTAAGGGCCACTGAATGGGCGGTAGAGCATTGTTATGATAATAGTAATACTATAAGAATAATCGTCAGGCATTGTTTTGCCTGTGAAGTAGGTATAATTGTGTTGGTTTTTCAGACCAGGAAATGGAGGCTTGCAGGGGTTAAGAATTAGCCCAGGCAGACACAGAAAGACAGATACTAGACTCATAGAAGCAGAGGGTGGAATGGTGGTTGCCAGGGATTGGGATGAGGGGAAACGGGGAGGCATTAGTCAAAAGGTATAAAGTTTCAGGTATACAAGATGACTAAGTCCCAGAGACTTAGTGCCTGTAGTTAACATGACGGTACTACATACTTTAAAATTTATTAAGATGGTAGATCTTATGTTAAATATTTCTATCACAAAAAATAATAAGAGGGCGGGAGGAAACTTCTGGAGGTGATGCCTAGGTTTATGGCATAGATTATGGTGACAGCTTCACAGATGTCTCTGAAGTTTTACACATTAATTATGTACAACTTTTTGCCTGTCAAAAAAAAAAAGAAGAATTGGTCTAGGGTCATGCAACTGCTAAGTGACAGGACAGAAGCTCACTTCTGGCATTTCAGCTCCAAAACCAGTGCTATTTACTTCTACCAGAGGGGGAAGGGGGGACAGCCTCCAGCATTGCAGCAGGGGGTCTTCAAGGCGGGACCCTACAGTCTGGCTGCTTGTGCTTCCTCTCCATGCCTGAGGTTGGATGAGGCTGGAGGCAGCGTCCACTGGGTGAGCCTGGGGGATGAGGTGTTAGCAAGAGGCAGCCCTTTGGCCCCTCGACCATAGGGCCAGAGAAGGGCGCCATCCCCCTGAGGCCTAGAGAGCTTGATTATGAGAAGTGAGCTTGTTTAGGGGCTGGGAAGAGTTCTTGTCTGGGCCTGATCTCTCCCTTTGGGAGGAGGGCCACCGGGGAGCCACGGGTGTGAGGAGAAGGCGCTCTGGACTGAGAACACCTGCTGTTTTAATCTTGGCTGCCTTTGAGAGCTCACGCAGCCTCTCTCGATCTCTTTTTATAAAGTAGAGAGTTGGAGCAGATCATTTCTAAGGACTCTTTTAGCTCTAAAAATAGATGGTTTTGTCATTTTAAATTGGTGTATTAACCCTGCCAGCACAGCACCAGGGCAGGGGGGATAATTATCACCCCGCTGTGCTACCCAGACTTTCCTTGGGGCAAGAGAATGGCCACAGCTCCTTTGAGCGGCCTGCCGCCACTGGGTGTCTCTGCCTGGCCCGGTGGGGAGTAATTACGCAAGGGAAGCCGTGGGTTGCTAAGTTACAGTGGAGGGCCTGGGGGTCTGCGTTTCCGCAGCCATCCGCACCTGCTCTGCCCTTGAGTGATAAAAACTCCTTGCTCTGACGTCTGCCCTTCTCTGTCACTCAGTCTGCCGAGTCTGAATAAGACCCCTGGAGTCAGACATGGGTTTGTATCCTGGGGCCTCCCCTTGAGCTGTAAGGCCTAGAGCAATCTTCTTAATCTCACTAAACTGTGGGGTTTTTTTCATATTAAAAGAAAACGGAGCTAATCCTAGTACCTACATTGGAGGGCTTTTGTGAGGCTTAAGGGAAAAGGGGCGGGAAAGGGGCTTAGTTAGGATGGTGCCTGGCACACAGTAGGTGCTCAATAACGTAAGCTGGTGGTAGTGTTAACCTCCACCCCCTGCCCAGAAGCCAGCATCCTCTTTTCCTGAGCTAGCCAGGACAGCGATTGATCCTTCCATTTTTGTCTGGCTTCCCGTGTCCTCACTGCTGCCTATGCAGGGCCCGCCTCTTGTCAGAGAATCAGACTTTTCACTCGGCCACTGGTAGACTACCGTTGGTACGGTCTTAATGCCAAGAGTTGTCTCTTTTCTCCATTTTGAAAGCATAACAGAGGGTGCCTTCCAGGCTGGACACTGGGTCCTCGGCTACGAGCCAAGCATCAGGGAGAGGCTAGAGACTGTGGTCTGCCGAATCTCCACTATTAACCACTATTATTGTCATTATCAGGAAGGCCCTGTGTCAGATTGTTTTCAAAAGAAAGGGAAAAAATGAAATAAACAAGAGATTAAAAAAAAAAAAAAGGCTACAAAAAGCCCTTTAGAAACTGAGGCAGGTAGAAGGGTGCTGCCAGTTTGCCCCCTAAAACTGCTTCACTGAGCAGTCATTAAGTAAGTTCCATGTCATGCCTGTCCACGTCTAACCCAAACCTATTTTTAAGAGAATGAAGGAAGGAATCTTAAGAACCTTCGTCATGAATGACTCAAGGGCACAGCTTTCCACCATGGGCCAGGGATCCAGGCCTCAGCAGATGTTTTCAGGAGGGGTTTCCTTTGGGGATCTAGTCAGAGCTTGCCTCTTTGCTGGAAGGGGGGAGCTCGGGGCAAGTGCCCTGTCCGTGTATTGCAAGCCCCACAGCCTTGTTCTGTGTGAGCATGCGCATCCTCCCCTGCCTTCTCTGGCTCCTTAACTCTGCTGGAGGGTCCGCTGCACCAGACCAGGCTTTGTCTGGGGCAAAGTGATTGACAGGTAATTTGAGACAAGGGTGGTCTGGTCTTATAGACCTTCGTGCCAGGGAGTAGGTGTGCTGAAAACAGCGTGATCCAAGCTGTTGATGCAGAACCTTCAAAGTCCAATAGGGACTGCCTTTTCCATGTAACGAATTTATTTCCGAAGAACACAGGTTTATAATCAGCCTTCGGCCCCACAAGCGGAGAAGGTGCCACCAAGGTCATTTCTGTTGAGGAGTAGAATCAAGGTTTGGGGCGGCCTTTGGTTTGTCTCCTTTCCCCCCAGCCAGGATGGCTCTTCATCTGCCTCTGTGACAGGACTTCGCTGGAGGAAGCAGCAGGGCCTCTGCCCTCCCTTTTCCGGCAGCCTTGTGCCTCGTGTGGAAAAAGTGTATCCCCTCAGTCAGCAGACAGGACTTAGGAGAATCTGGGGCGGAAGAACAACCTGTCTCTTCTTCTAGGAAGACAAGTTTAAAGAGAAATTTGCTAAAGTCGGGTTACTTTTTAAATTCTGCAAAGTAAAAAAAATGAGATGTGCCCATTTTGCGTGGGCAATGGATTTTGGTTTTGCGTGGTCTTGATGATATGTCTGGAGGTCAGAGTGGGTTTATATTTGATAGTTGGCAGTCATCCGGGTATCAGTTTCAAGTGCAGGTCATACCCTCAGTAGTGTGTTGGGACAGGAGGTATACCACGGGGCGTCTGGCTGGTGATCTCGAGGTGATGGAGAAGCCTCATTGTGTCCACTTAGGGCAGGAGTGAGAGGGGTCGTGGGCAGAGGCAGTTTTTCCAAGTTTTATTTCCTCTGCTTTCTAAAGGAAAAACAAACAAGGCCCGAGGTTGTTGGGTCCCCTGTGAAGCCTGTGTCCTTCAGGAGTTGCAACATCAAACATCCACCAGCATCCACTCCCTTCTCTCCTCCTGCAAGGCCCTCCTCCCTGCTGCAGACACCAATGGCTCTCAGCTCCCCAGCAGTGCTCTCTCTGCTCCTCGTCACTGGTCCAGGATGGGGCTGGGTGGGAGTTAACCATATCAGGTGAACTTTCTGCCTGTCACTAGATATAAATCAGGGAAGCGTGTTGCTCCATTTGAGGCTGATGGCCATGTCCTGACCATGAGGGGAGGTTGCCTAAGGGGAGAAGCAGCACCCCAGGGAGGCAGAACAGAGAAGGCGAGTACTCTCGGATGGAGTCCTTTAGCTACCGACTCCACCAGCCCCGGGGTTGGGGGGGGGGCAGGGGCGGGGGCAGCCTCTGAGTGAGGTGGGACCCGTGGGCCCGAAGTTGGGCTTGCTCTTCCCTGATTGGAGTCCTTTGAATGCCTGGAGTGTTTCCTTTTCTTCTGCACCCCTTGTTCCACCTTAATTAAAACAAGATCTTCTGTGCCTTGATGGTTTTAAGCAGTCTTCAGAGTCAGAGAACACTGGGTTGATATCTAGACTTCACACTTGCATGGCCCTGGGCAAGTCCTTGAACCTCATTGACCTCGGGTTCCTCCCGGGAGAATTGGGAATAATGGTACTTCATAGGGTTGAGGTGAGCACCAAATGGGATGCCCTACGTAGGGGCCGTGGGAAACCCTGAAGGCAAGGCAGGCTTGGAGCTGGGGCCAGGCTGGAGGCCTCCGTTAGGACATCTGTCATGTCCTTGCCCCAGCAGGAAAAGGGTTTATCTGATTCTTGTTCTCTGTGTGGAACAGCCCATGTCAGACACCCTCTGTCCTCTGCAGATCCCATCCCATTGGAGGCTCTTCCCAGAGGGAGTGGTGGTTTCCTTGGCTTCTCACTGAGCATCGGCCCTTCATGCCCACCCACAGATCCTAGAGACAGGAAGATTTTCGGGGTGGGGGGGGCACTGGGAGGAGACAAAAGATATTATCCTGGGTGGCCTCTGCCTCTGAGGGCCACCACCTCTTCCTTGTCCAAGGAGTTTTATGGCAGCCCAGGTGGAAATGTGTGGGGTCAAATCCTGGCCTGTGGACATGTGGCCCAGCCTCTGAGACTCTTTCTGGAGAGGAACAATGGGGACAAGGTGAAGCATCCGTGCTAAGTGGTGGTGAGGAAAGAGTAAGTGGGGTCGTGCATGCATGTGAGGGACCCAGCAGAGCACGGGGACAGAGCAGGAACTCAGTAGGTATGTGGTGCTTTCTACATCTGCCTGCAGACAAGGGTGGAGGCCACCCCACTGCTCAGAAGCTGCGTCACCCAGAGAGAGGATTAGAGACAGCAGATGAAGGACAGGCAAATTCCAGCTCTGTTTTTGAGCTCTTGAGGTCTCAGGAGAGTAAGTACACAGGAGGATGCACTGCCTAGGAGTGGGAGGGAGCTCCCCATCACTGAGAGTAAGGTACCTTGTGATGCTGGGATTCTGGCCCCTCCGCCCATTTCAGCAGAGCCAGGTGACAGAGAGAGGTATGGAGGCCTTCAGTCTGAACGAGTCCTCATCCCTTGATTGCTGTCATTCCGAAGAGGCTCTTGGTGCATGGAGTGGCACTAAACAGTGGGTCAGACCTCGGGACTGGACATAGCCGTCCAGTCAGCCAGGCAGGCCGCAGTCCTGCAGAAGGCGGAAGCTTGGCTGAATGTCTCTTCTGGTTTCCCAGGCCAAGGATGGCGACCTGACTTCTCCCTCACCGCCCCCGTCTCCCTACCACTGCCCGGCTGTCACCGAGACTGGTGGCCTCTCCAGGAGCACTGAAAATTGGCCTGGAGAAAGGGGACATCGTGGGGTCCATTGTCCAGTAAGCAACTTGGCCCAATTATTCTTCACCATTTTGAACTTCCTCCTAGAGTTTATTATCCAGAAACATTTGGAACGGTGATGGAGAAAGGCCTCTTTTATCTTCTTTAGTGCTAGGGGTCTGATTAAATGAGCTCTTTGCCTCCAGCCGTATCTTCTGAAAACTCTTCTGAGCATTTTGCCTGATCCTTGAGTTCTACTGGCTTATGCAGCTGCTGGTGCAGTGCATTTAGGGGGTCCGGGGAAGGGGGAGTACGGGAGACAGACTGAAAGGGCTTTATAATAACCACCGGTTGCCCAAGTACCTGTTGGCTTTTTCCTACTGCACTTTGGCTACTTCACGGCAGGTGAAAATGCAAGGTAGCTTTTCATCTGTCTCCACAGTGGCAAAATACAGAAATACCTATGTTAGTGTTCCCCTAGAAGTAGATCCTGAGACAAAGGTTCAAGTAGAAGTAGATGATTTGAACTCCATCCCAATAAACATGAATAAGGGAGTGAAGAACTGAGACAAAGAAGGGAAAGGAGAGGGAATGCATCAGGCTAATGACCACTGTGGGCAACACCTCATCTGTTAGGGAACTCTGGAGTGTAGAATATGCCTCAGAACTCTCCGACCTGGGGAAGATGGGAGTGGGGTATTCATTCGTTCATTCACTCACTCACTCACTCACTCACTCACTCACTTATATTTCAATTCCAGTATAGTGAACATGCAGTGTTATATTAGTGATTCAACCATTCCATGGGAGGGGGGTAATTATGCAACTGTTCCCATCAGATGTTGGTGCAGGTGCCTGGCTTGTACATGGTACAGTTAGAAACCCAGGCAATCCCTCCTCTGGGCCCCATGCTTTAACCACCACACGATTTCTAGCGGAATGCTCTGCCCATCCCCAGCAAACCTCTCTTCCCATTTTCCCCCTTGGAAGGCAACTTGAGAGCCTGAAGGGCCCTGTGCACCAGTCTGTATTTGTCCTGTCTTCTGTCAACATCCTTCTGGCTGGCCTGGGGAAGGGGTGGTAACTTAGCATCCAACTAGAAACAGTGCTCCCCCCCGCCCCGCCCCCAGGCTCAAAGGCTGGCCCCTGCCTGGTTGCCTTGTTGCCCCACAATGCCCCAACCCCATGTCTCCTGGTTCCCGTAGGCTTGGCCCCAGGGCCCCGAGTTTAGGGCTTGCCTGGGATTGTCCGCTGCACACGCAGTCCCTCAGGTCCAGAGGAGGGGCCCAGTGTCCTTCCTTCCGTGGCCCCACCCCACACCCTCACCTACCTGCTGCCAAGCTCGCATTCCACCACAGGGAGGCCTGAGGGAGGGGCAGATGACAGAATGCTCACCAGAGAGGTGCCCACTCAGGTTAGAGGTTGGTCTTTCCTCCCTTTTCCTCATTTCCCTGCAGGTCTTGCTCTCTGACATCCCCTGGGTGTGTCCATTTTGCTTTAGCTGCTGTTGGAAGCGTTCCCGTCTGTGATGGGGGCAGAACACACATCAGCTCCTGCCCCGCTCGTCTGCCTCTCATCTCTCCAGGGAGGGCTATTTATCTTATATTGTCTAAATACTATTACTCAGCCACTCTCTCAAATTCTGTCATTTGTAAATAGGGATTTATTTGATTCTTTATTGTTAACTTTTTGACTTTTTATTATGGAAAATGTTAAACAGACCCAAAAAAGGATCATAGAAAGGCCCCCATCACCATCTTTGACAGTGATCTAGTTGCTACTGTCTTGTTCCATCTGTCTCCATACTTTCTTTGCTGAAGTATCTTTATTTTATTTTATTTTATTTTATTTTATTTATTTATTTATTTATTTATTTATTTATTTATTTATTTATTTATAAATAGGCTCTGTGCCTAACATAATGTGGGCTGGAACTCACAACCCTGAGATCAGGAGTCACATGCTGTACTGATTGCACAGCCAGGAGCCCCTTTGCTGGAGTATTTTAGAACAAACCATGTACAGGTCATTTTACCTAAAACCACTTATGTTCTCTTCTTTCTTAAGTTATCTAAGTTTTTTTTTAAAGATTTTATTCATTTGAGAGAGAGCCTGAGAGAGCACGAGCAGGGTGGGGGGGAGAAGCAGAGGGAGAGGGAGAAGCAAACTCCCTGCTGAGCAGGGAGCCCCACACGGGGCTCGATCCCAGGACCCTGGGATCATGACCTGAGCCGAAGGCAGACGCTTAACCGACTGAGCCACCGAGGCTCCCCTTACCTAATTTTTTATGACTTTTTATTTTGAAATAATTTTAGACTTATAGAAAAGTTACCAAAAATGCTCACTCAGCTTCCCCTGATGTTAAATCTTACATAACCACAGTGCAATGATCAAAACCAGGAAATTAACACAGTACCACTACCTAAACCACAGAGCTTATTCGGATTCTGCCAATTGTGCACTAATGTCCTTTGCCTGGCCCAAGATCTCACGTTATGTTCAGTTGTTGTGTCTCCTTGGACTCCTTACATCTGGGCTAGCTTCTCAGTCGTTCCTGGTCTTCTGTGACCTTAACTCTTGAAGAGTGCTGGTCAGGTATTTTGTAGAATGTCCTTCAATTTGGGTTTAATGTTTTCTCTGCTGACTTATCTATATACCAGATTCAGAGCTAACAGTGGAGCTAGACCACGTTTCCTCATTTGGACGTATAGATTGAGGTTGTGTTTTTTGGGTAAGAAGATGACAGGAATGAGGTGCCCTTCTCAGTGTCAGCAATAATGGAAATAGAAGGTTATCTAATTTTTTAAAAAGATTTTATTTATTTGGGAGAGAGCAAGGGGTATCACGGGGCACATGGTGTCAGGAAATTATTACCAGTGATGTTAATGTCGATTTGTTGATTCAGGGGCTGTCTGCCAGGCTTCTGTATCGTAGTTTCTTCCTTCCTTCCTTTCTTTTCTTTTTCTTTTGTACCGTAAAGTTCCTATTTTTGCCTTTGTAATAGACAGTATCTCACAGGGAGATTGTTCAAGATGATGCAAATATCCTATTTCTCATCATACTTCCACCCACTAATTTTAGCATCCAGCTGTGGATCTTGCCTGAGACCATTATTACTGTGATGTTTGCCAAATGGTGATTTTCTGTTTCCATCATTGCTTCTACATATATTAATTGGAGTTCTACTGTAAGAAAGATCTGTTCCTTCTTGCTTACTTATTTATATTGATATTGCATGCTTATGCATGGGTTATGCATGCTTATTCTATGGGTTATAATCCATTACTGTTGCTTTTTAATTTTGTTACCTTGCCCCAGATTTAGCCACTGGGAACTCCTTCAGGTTAGCTCCTGTGCCACCTTGTTATGTCCTCATCATTTTTTGAGAACTTCCTGACATTCTGGTAGTACAAGATATTCCAGACTTACCTTGTACTTTCCCTGCCTGAGCCGTGGAAACAGTGATTTTTCCACAGAGCCCTGGTTCCTTAGTAGGGGATGATATTCGGAACCAAGACCTGAGTGCCAGGGGTGCTGTCCCTGCTCCCAGGCCCTCCTGTGGGTCAGAACTAGGAGCTGTATGTATGTGGGTGCACCCCCCACTCCCCCCCGCCCCCACAGCTGTTCCTCCTGCTCACATTCCTCCTGTCCTGCGGGCCTGAGTCCTTCAGTTCCCTGGCTCAGACCTGAGCTGAGGCTCCCAGGGTAGCTTCCCCAGCTCCCCAGCGAGACACCCTGCCCTTCTGGCCTCTCCTGACCTTAAGGATGAATGAACTCTCCCTTCCTCCCCCTGGCTTCTTTCTGTGTCTTTTTTTCCCTCCTCTTACCTCCTAGAGAGATGTCAGAACTCGCAGCTGTGGTCATGTCACACTGAGGACGCAGGTGCTCTCTTCTGAGCAGCCTTGTACTGTCCGTACCACAGTGGTGGTAAGGATAGTTGGTGCCCTTGGCAGCACCACGGGACACTGGTCGGAATTGGTCAAGTATCAGCAGTTTGCTGTGATTCAACCTGATTGCAAAGTGGTTCTTTGCTGGTGGGGCTGGGTGGAGAATTTCATGGGGTTGGGGGGGGCACATGTTTTTGAAAAAGTATATGCAGCAATATGATTTTACATACGCAGATACAGATAAAAAATACCAACTTCAGAAGGTAAAAGTTGATGAAATCTTTCAGTCTTGGGGGTGGATCCTGTAGAAGAGACTCTCTTATGAATGAAGAGTGCTTGGGGAAGGGGGTATTGGACTTTACAGGTCAGTATGGGGCACGAAAGGGTTTCTCTTTTTTTATGAGTGGACCCTTGGGTTTGAAAAGATAGGAAAACACTGATATTTAAGCACATTTCTTGGCTGTAGGGTTCTGGGCTTACAAAGCCCTTCCCCTGGAGATTAACAGGGCTGATGAGCACAGACAAAACCGAGCCAAGAAGGCAGCCGCCTGCACCATCTCCTCTCATTCTGGGGCTGGACCAGAAGATCTCTGCTATTGTTCTGCAAAAGCCTTGAACACCCGCATGAAGGACATGGGGTTCCTGGGCTCTCAGGAGAGCTGTGACTTTATCTTCTTCCCTACAGACCAAGAAGGCCCAATGGGACTGAGCAAGTGGGAGTTCTGTTAAAGGACCAGCTTTGAGTTCACACGGGAATATATTTCAAATAAGTCATCTGCAGACTTCAGGACTTGAATTGCCATAAGGAACATGCTCCTTGTACCCCTTCATGCAGAGCTCCCTCTCCTCTAGGCACCCCATTCTAACTCCCACATGAATGGAGAGACACTGAGGCTGGGAGCTTGTCATTGGGTTTTCTACCTCTGTTCTCTCCCATCTCCAGGCTACTCTGCTCAAAGGCCTTCAAGAGTTCCCCATTGACTAGAGGGTAGAGTTCAGATTTCTTGACCTATCATCAAGGCCGTTGACATTCTGGCCTTAGCTAATTTTTCTAAGTCTCTTGTCTGTTTTTCCTCTGTGAACCATCTACCTAATCAGATTGGGCTGTGTGGTCTCCCCCGTCTTTGGACACCCCCCCCCCACCTCCTTTCTTTCTACCCTGGAGATGACAT